ATTGAGTACTTTCCGTGCTGAGATGGCGGCCATGATGGGGTCACACACACTTATGTTCAGGGAGTTCAGGGCATGCGGGGCTCCAGACTATCATGGGGCGCGGGACCCATAGCGAGTACTAGATGGTTGGCGGATGTGGCCAACGCTTTCCGCACTAGCAGGTGTCCGAGGGGGACAAGGTCAGATTGGCGTCCTGTCTTCTGAAGGACAGGGCACGGGATTGGTGGGAGGAGGTCGGACATGCCATCGGGGATGATGCGGCATTGGATGCCATGACCTGGGCTGATTTCTCTACCAGGTTCAGGGCGGAGTTTGCACCGGTCATTGAGGTGCAGCAGTTAGCTAGGGAGTTCAGGACCTTACCCAGACTACAGAGACAGTGGCGGAGATCACCGCCAAGTTCAGGGAGAGGGCCCTTCTTGTTCCTCAGTATGCAGCCGATGAGGAGATGAAGAAGGCCCGTTATCATGAGATGTTGCGGAGTGACATCCGCATGTTTGTGAGCCGGTCCAGTTGTAAAACGCTGGACGACATGATTGCCAGAGCTAGAGAGAGGGAGATTGATCTCGAGATGGAGAAGAAGAGGAAACCGGAGGCGGTTTCGGTTCAGGCAGTATGGGCAAAAAGCCCAAGGTTTCAGATCACAGGTCTAGGAGTCAGCAGAGCCACGGTCGGTGTGGCAAGTGTGGGAGATTGCACGAGGGGCGTGCAAGGCAGGGAGTTCCGGCTGCTACAAGTGCGGTCGGACTGGGCATTTGAGTAGGGATTGTACGGCCCCTGCTACTACGGTTACAACATCAGATCTGATTTGCTTTCAGTGCAATCAGAGGGGACATAAAAGGTCCCAGTGTCCCAGTTTAGCTGCAGCAGGGAAGGTGGTTGCACCTGCCCCTGCCACCTTGAGGATTACGGATGGCCGGCAGGGCCGATCTGATGCGCCAGTGGCGAAGAGCAGGGCATTTCAGATGACAGCAGAGGAGGCGCGAGCGACTCCTGATGTGGTGACGGTATATCTTTCCTTCATCTTTAATTGTATATATCGTTTGAATATTACTTGATGATGTTTATTTAGGGTCGTTCTCGGTGAACGGCATCCCTGCTTTGGTATTGTTCGATTCGGGGGCTACCCGATCATTTGTATCGCTTGCGCTTAGCAAGAGATTTAGCAGAGCTCCAGGGGAGCTGGATTGTCCATTAGAGGTTGAGATAGCAGATGATAGGACCGTGAGGGTCGGCAGAGTACATAGAGGGTGTTCCCTTCAGATATTTGATGAGCAGTTTTCAGTGGACCTGGTTCCTATTCCCCTGCGAGGGAATAAAGTTATTGTGGGCATGGATTGGCTAGCCCCAATGGGGCGGTGATTGATTGTGAGCTTCAGCTAGTGAGGGTTCGCACTCCCAGTGGGGGAGAGATAGTGATTCAGGGCGAGAGGCCCCAGCGAGGACCGACCTTTTGTTCCGCCGCAAGGGCGAGGCGCTATGTTCAGCAGGGTTGCGCCGGTTTTGTAGCTTACGTCTTGGATGCCCGGAGAAGGGCAAGACGACGATTGATGATGTTCCTATTGTTCGTGACTACCCGGATGTGTTTCCCGAGGATTTGCCGGGGATACCTCCAGAGAGGCAGGTTGAGTTCAGGATCGACCTAGTTCCTGGTGCGGCTCCGATAGCCAAAGCACCGTATCGACTTGCTCCCCCTGAGATGCAGGAGTTGTCTACACAGCTTCAGGAGCTGTTAGACAAGGGTTTCATTCGGCCGAGCAGTTCGCCTTGGGGAGCGCCGATCTTATTTGTGAGGAAGAAGGATGGGTCGCATCGTATGTGCATTGATTATCGGGAGTTGAACAAAGTAACGGTGAAGAACCGTTACCCACTTCCGAGGATAGATGACTTGTTTGATCAGCTTCAGGGAGCGTCTTGGTTCTCCAAGATCGATCTACGCTCCGGTTATCATCAGATGAGGGTTAGAGATGAGGATGTACAGAAGACTGCTTTCAGGACCCGGTATGGTCATTATGAGTTCGTGGTGATGCCATTTGGGCTCACCAATGCCCCAGCCGCGTTCATGGATCTCATGAACCGCGTGTGCAGACCGATGCTGGATCGGTCGGTGATAGTATTCATAGATGACATCTTGGTATATTCCAAGACACAGGGGCAGCACGAGGAGCACCTGCGGGAGGTGTTGGAGACTTTGAGGAGGGAGAGACTTTTCGCAAAGTTCTCCAAGTGTGAGTTCTGGTTGCGCGAGGTGCAGTTTCTTGGTCATCTCGTCAACCAGAAGGGTATTTTGGTAGATCCGGCCAAGATTGAGGCCGTGATGCAGTGGGAGGTCCCGAGGTCTCCATCTGAGATTCGGAGCTTCCTAGGGTGGCAGGGTATTATCGGAGATTTATTCAGGACTTCTCCAAGATAGCAGTGCCGCTCACCCGACTAACCAAGAAGTCGGTGGTTTTCGTTGGGGGCCTGAGCAGCAGGCGGCGTTCGAGACTCTCAGACAGAGATTGTGCGAGGCTCCGATCCTTACCTTGCCAGAGGGAGTAGAGGATTCGTAGTCTATTGTGATGCTTCGATCACAGGTATGGGAGCAGTATTGATGCAGCGAGGCCATGTGGTAGCTTATGCCTCGAGACAGTTGAAGCCTCACGAGGCTAATTATCCTACCCACGATTTGGAGCTGGGGGCAGTTGTGTTTGCCCTCAAGATTTGGAGACATTACCTTTATGGGGTCCGCTGTACTATATACACGGATCACAAGAGTTTGCGATATCTTATGGATCAGCCGAGTTTGAACATGAGGCAGAGGAGATGGTTGGACGTGCTGAAGGACTATGACTGTGAGATCCTTTATCATCCAGGGAAGGCCAACGTGGTGGCCGACGCCCTGAGCCGCAAGGTGTCGACGGCCCCTATCAGAGATCTGTGTATGAGGATGACAGTGATCACTCCGTTGTTGGAGCGGATCAAGGAGGCTCAGATGGAGGGCCTCAAGGAGGAGAGGCAGAAGTGTGAGAGGATAGTGGGCCGAGTAGCTTCATTTGATTACGACAGTCGGGGTTTGTTGACGCTTCATGGTAGGGTGTGGGTACCGTACTGGGGTGGGGTACGGCAAGTATTGATGGACGAGGCTCATAAGTCTCGATTTTCTATCCACCCAGGAGCGACGAAGATGTATCGAGATCTTCGACCTGATTATGGTGGCCCTGCATGAAGCGGGACGT